AAGACAAAACTAACTTCAGTCTGAGTGAAGACAAAACTAACTTCAGTGGATCAAAACTTTCCAGGGAAAGCTTGAAAAGTGCCTCTGAAGAGAGAGCTTGTACATTTTAGGTCCACAGCAGGTTAGACGTGTGTGTTTTTGTGTGATTTTTCTGTTCAAGTCAAAGGTCACCAGAGTAAATGACATCCCCTCAGAGCTGTGGTTTCCAACCGTGGTCCTCAAGGAACACTACCCTGCATGGTTTAGTTGTTTCTCTGCTCCAACACACCTGATTCAATGATTTAATTACTTCCTCACGTTCTGCAGAAGCCTGCTAATCACAGATTCATTCAAACCAAGTGTGTCAAAACAAGAAAACAACTAAAATATGCAGGATGGTGTTCCTCAAGGACCACGGTTGGGAACCCCTGCATCAGAAGACAGATCGTTGCATTCCTGATCCGTTCTGCTCCAACATGGCTGCAGAGTTTCTCTGTTTCTCATGTTGTGTTTGTCTTGTGGCAACAAAAGTTTGAACATGGGCACTCGGAGGACTTCTGAGGTTTAAATGTTCCATGTGCATCAGAGAAATCTGTAGACTGAAGAAGACACGCCGAGTCGTCACTATGGTCCCAAATGATCCACGTGTCTCAGCACGAGCGCCTTTGGAGTGGACCGTGCAAAGGTCTGTCTGGGACTTCTGATTCAGCACAATCACTCTGCGTCTTTCAGCTTCTGCTATCTTTGTTTATTTTTGATTTCAGCCTCTTCAGCTAATTTCACGGCGTTTTCACAGAACACCAGTTTCTACAAGCTGCTCGCACAAAAGGAAATGTTTAGGGTGGTTTATTAAACAGAAATTCAGTTGAAATGGCAAAAAACTAAAATGTTGTACGGTTGTAGTTCTGGTTGGACCAGCTTTGTTCTGAAACACTCTTCCCAAGTCCTCCACTGGTGGGTCACGATGAGGACTGGATCAAGCTTAGGCATCGCAACAGTGATATGTGAAGGGGCCGTGTCCTACTCGCATTAAAAAATATATTCATTTGGACCCCCCCCCCCCCCCCCCCCACACACACACACATAAACCATGAAATATTAGTTCACCCAGCGCTGTTTCTAGTTCTTCGTGAACAAATCCATTCCACTTGATTAATGGGAGAATACTCAAACCACTAAAAGTCCACTCCGGGTTTTTCTGGTTACCTACAACAACTCCAGACCAGGTTTCCCTGAAGTCACTAGATGGGGGAGGGGGTGGGGAGTTAGGATGTGTGAGAGAAGTGGAGCACCACATCTGTAGCATCTTAGCTAGCTCATCTGTATTACGCGTCGCTAGCTTAGCGCTACATTAGTGTTGGCAGAGCATTGTTCAAGTTTATTGTCGTTCACATCACGTGGTACACGAGGTGGAACGAAATTATGTACTCAGGGTCCCAGTTACACCCAAAAATAGCAAAATATAAATTATAACAAGAAACAGTATATAAGGACCTGATGCTAAACGAACGCCAAACGCTAAAAGATCTAAATGTACAGTACGTTTTTGTGCCGTGCTCTCTAAAATAGTTGAATCAGGTGTTTACTTGTGTAGGTAAACGTAGATGTTTAACAACCTGTTAAAATTACACCAGAATGCAGGAAATGGCATCTACTTTATTCAAAATTTTCTGGGGATGGACCCCCAGACCCCCCCACCAGTGTGTCCCCCCTACATTAGAAATGCTTCCGACGCCTGTGGGATCTAGATTTTTGCCTAAAACTGTATGAAAGATTCTCCCGTCTGGTAAAAACCTGAAGTTTTTTGTCCGTTTGACACATTTCACCCTGAGTGTTTTTCTGACCCGCGGCAGAGAGAAGGAGCAGCCATCTTGGAGAACGTGTCTGCAGACGGAGCAGAGCTGCCCGGTTGTTCGGGTCGGCTGCAGAACCCGGGTAACCCTTCACCAGACAACGCTCATGTGCACTTCCCGTCAGTTGCTGACCTCAGCGTTTGTTTTTGGTTCCTCCTGCTGACTCAGGACATGCCCTGGAAGCAGGCTGGTTCCTGCTGCAGCTCGCTGCAGAAACCGGAAACACAGACATCCAGAAAACCGCCGTGGAGAAGTTCGTGGAGCTTCCGTACGACAGCGGCTGGGACGAGGAGCACGGCGGCCTCTTCTACTTCCTGGATGTGGACGGTCGCTGCCCCACGCAGGTGAACCACCCACCTGTTGTGACTTGGTGCTACTGTAGATAAAAAAACTAAACTGGAACTGAACTGTCCACACGTGGACGCTGCTGATGTCCACGTTTAACAGAAGCGTTTGTTTGTGAGCAGCTGGAGTGGAGCATGAAGCTCTGGTGGCCTCACTGCGAGGCTCTGGTCGCCGTCCTCCTGGCCTACAGTCAGACCCAGAAACCCGAGCTGCTCCGCAGGTTCTTCCAGGTTTATGATTACACTTTCAGCCACGTGAGTCCACTGCTCCCCCCACGTCCCACTGAACCACAACCTGCACCCATCTGACCCCAGACCCGTGTGAGATTATAATCCAGCACAGAAATGTGTTCTTGTGTCTGGTTCTGTGCAGTTTCCTGACCCGACGAGCGGCGAGTGGTTTGGATATCTGACCCGGGAAGGAAAAGTGGCGTTGGATTTTAAAGGTGGCCCGTTCAAAGGTGAGAGCGTTCAGGGAGTTTTCTAAAAACAGACGAGACGGAGAGAAAATGTGCCGTTCACCAGAAAGTTCTCTTCTCAAAGATGGCTTCCTGAAGATGTTCACATCCATGATCGAGAGGAACGATGGTTTGAGAGAGGAGTGAAGGAGGCCATCTTTGTGAAGAGAACCCGTCCATCATTAAACAGAGGAGGCCTCCGTGTTCAACCGTCCTCCTCTTATAATGCTGTTATTGTTAGTATCACTCAGCCCCCTGTGAATAGCAAGCGACACTAACGATCTGTCATTAGGCTGATGGTCCTCCTGGATCATGTGAGCAGCTGGTTCTGGATGTCGACAACAAACTGGTTGATCCACCAAGAGAAGGTGCTGTTTATAAGACTGAGTTTGTTGCAGCTCCTCAGACTGAAGAAGTCCTTTGGATAAAAGATGAAACGTTTCAACAAGAAGAATCTGTCCAGAGGAGCTGACTCAACCTGGTTAGACATGAAACAAAACGTTCGGCTCGTTCAGCACATTCCTGCTGGGACTTTTGGTGCTTGTGCTTCTAGAAATATTTAGCTTGGTCAGCCATGTTTCTCTCCTTGAAAATGAACGAGCTCTCTTCACATCCTTCAAACACTTTGAGCTGTTTAAACCTTTTACTGCTCATTTCAGATTTTTTTTGTGAGTTTTTTTTAGCTAAATTCGTCTTTTTCAACTACTGTTTTGGTATTTTTCTCCTACTTTAAACTTTTTTCTGATAATTTCTACCTTTCACGATTCTTTCTAATAATTTCAGATCGTATGCTTTTTTGAGCCTCTCTGCCCATTTCAGCTTATTCTGCTCATTTCTGCTTTTTCGGCTTATCTCAGCTTTTATTTTGCTGCTTTCGGGAAACGTCAGCTGTTCAAGTTCAGCTCACACGAACAGAGACGAAACATTTTTAGCGTTCACAGGAAATGACCTTTGTCTGGTTTAGTTTTAAATCCGTACGTTTCTGTAAATCAATTACTTCAGCTCTCGTTACACTGTAACTGTTTTATTTTAATATAAATGTTTTAAATGTTTAAAAATCTGAGCTGAGAGCTGATTTGCTGATCAAGCTGAAACTGAGTTGGTAAAGTTGAAAGAAGCAGAACTAGCTGGAAGCTAGAAGTAGCTAACCACTAGCTAAAAGTAGCAAAACATCAGAGTAGCAAAAAGCTTGTTTGAAGCTAATTATGGCAAAAAGCTACTGTATATAAAAAGTGTGACATCATTTACATAAAGTAACAAAATACTAGCTAGAAGCTAAAAGTAGCAAAATATGGGCTAAAAGCTAACAGTAGCATAAGAAGAGCCCATAGCTGAAGCAGATTTCAAAGATGGCAACGTTTTAAAGGAGCTGAAAAGATCTTTGTGTGTTTTCATGTGAAAATCTTAGTAAAGAAAGCTAAACAGACAACGACTAAAAGCTAAAAGCAGCAGAAATGTAGCTAAATGATAAAAACAGCTAAATGTAGCTGAAAGATCAAAGTAGCAGAATAAAGCTAAAAGGAGTAAAATGGTAGCGGAAAATAAAATGAGGCTAAATGTCATTTAATAGCTTAAAGTAGTTAAACAGTAGCTAAAGCTAAAAGTAGCAGAACGATAGCTGAAAGTAGCATAAGAAGACAAAACTGGAGCCAGCAGCTGAAGCTAATCTCAAAGAGAACAAGAATTTCTGACCAGGTCTGTTTGTTTCTTTGTGGAAAGTTATTGTAAAGTTACATATTTTAGTAGAAATTGAGTGTAAAAGTTTACAAAAAAACAAAAGTCTCAGCAGCCATCCCCTGAATGAGCCGAAGGCTGTGATTTATGAACGGCTAACACAGCCCAAAGGCGAAGACGTCATTAGACTGCAGAAAAGTTCTTCATTGTTGGAGTGAGCCTGATTAAAGATGGCCGCCACAGCTAATTTTTTTCTCATAAAGTACTTTATGTCGAGCAAACGACTTTACATATAAAGATCTTCAACACAATAACATCAAATTACCTTAAAATAAATAAACAAAGGAATAATGATGTTTAAATAATAACCACAAACGTTGGCAGTATTGGTGTAAAGGTCTTGCAATCTACAAAGTAAACTAATAAGTTAGGTTAAAAAAAAGAGTTAAATACATTTATACATAAATGAGTCAAATAAAATCTTGTGTACCTTTTAATCTCTACAAATTCTACTATTTTCTTAATAAATGTGCAAAATGCATTAAAATTCTTATAATAAATGGTCTGTTACAACAAAAATAAAAATAAAAAGATAACAAAGGGGTCTGTTTATGAAATGAAGTTAAATTTCTTAAGAAGAGTTATTGTTTTTACAAGTTTCTGATTATTTAAATTAAGTTTTTCCACAGAGGTAATATATGTTTTTAAGTCAGCTTCTTTAAAAATATTAAACGACGGGATTTTTTCACTCCATTTCATCTTGTGGACGTAATATTTTGCCAGGATTATAATTAGATTAATTTAATCTGAAGAAAAGGCTGAATTGTTAAAGATGAGCAATATTTTGAAACGTTCTTTCCAACGTTCTCTGTGAGGAGTCTTTGCAAATCTGACCAGAACATATGAGATCATTCCAGAAATAAATGTTCAATACTTTCGCCCTCACGCCGACAGAGAGAGCAGCTCTTGCTGACATTTGTGTCCTGAATGGTGCTTTTTAGAAAATGATGATTATTATTATTATTTGGAAAGAAGCGACAAATATTATCTTTAACAGGATAATACATATGTAAAATCTTAAATAAAAATTATTTGATTCTATTAATAATTTATGAGGCAAAGTTAAATGACCCACGCAGATAGATGATGGCATCATTTTGACAGACAGCTTTAGCTCCGCCTCCTCGTCACGAGCTCAGCTTGAGCCTCGACGGGCGGCGGGTGATTCCTCTGAACCAGCTTGAATGTTCTGTTTGGGTTCTTGGAGAACCCGTGGGCTGTTCTGTAACCTGTTTGTCCTCTTCAGGGTTTTTCCACGTTCCTCGCTGCCTCTTCATGTGTGAACGACTCCTGGACGATCTGCTGAACGAAGGCTGCAGATCTGCGTGACGACCCAAACTGCAAACAACCCCACCCTGAAGGGAAACCTGGAGCCGGAGCTGCAGAACTTCCCGCTTCGTTCTGTTTATCTGAGTTGACCAGGAAACTGCCGGGAGGATTTCATTTAGATCACTTAACTGATTCTTTGTTTAACGTGGAGAAAACATTTCTAATCTTGTTTTATTTTCTTACAGAGCTCATGAGGGGACAGTGGTGAACAATAAATATTATATATATATATATATAAGTGTGGTTTTAAAAATAAATCATTGTTGCACGAGAGAGTTATCTCGTATGATTCAGCGTCCGTGTTCTCCGTGTGGACGGAGAACGGAGAGGTTTCAGTAGATTTTGTTATTTTAGCTGTTCATCAGTGAAAACATTCGGCTCTTTCAGTATGGCTGTTGACAGATTTGAATTTACAGCCTTTAAACTTTTCAAAATATTTTATTTCATTTACTTTGAGCTACAGTTCTGCTACTTTTACTTCTGGCTCTGTACCTACTGTTCTGCTACTCAAAGCTTTCAGGGTATATGTATCCTGTTTCCTGGAATAACTTGTAAAAAGAGCTGAAGCTCTCGACCTTTGACCTCTCCAAGTGGCTTCAAACATCTGCTAAGTTCATGGCGAGAACCAACGCAGACATGTTCCTGTTTTTAGTTTTTACATCACTTTATAATGTAGCTGTTGTTTTAGCTTCTTTTTTTAATTTCTTCTATTTTCTTTTTCATTTTATATGTTTTTTATATGATTGTCCAGTGTTGTCATCATTATTTCCTTAAACCAGGTCTCTCTTGTAAATGAGTCCCCGAGGCTCAATGAGA